CGTAGCCACGTCATCTGAAACGCGTTGGGAAATCAACGAGCCGCCCCGAAGCGAATCATGATTCGAGGGTAATTTTCATGACACCTGCCCTGCGGGTAAGCGCGACTGGCTAGTGTGCCTTCTATCTCCGCGGAATCTTGGAATGTAGTGGATCCGCTGGGCTCCGGCGCCGAGTCCCGAAGTGGTGCTCGCCATGGTGAATAACCGAATGATCCTGGATACGCTTGGTCCAGATAGGGCAAAGCTTGTTGCCCTCCATGCGTTGTCGAGGAAAACCCTGTAAGCGATGGTCGGGGAAAACTTTTTTGCCAGGAGAATGCCGGACTAAATATGTCGTCGGGCCTCTTGTTCTCGACGCGCTCAAGAGGACGACGCCGACACCAACGCAAATCCACAGCAAACCCTACGTCCCGCGCCCCAAGCAGACAAAGCCAGCACCGCGGCAAGCCCTACGGCAAGCCCACCACGCCCGAGGCGGCGTCTGCCCTGGTGTCCGCGGCGCCCTCTCCAAGACGTACGGCCGCGCGTATGAACAAACGGCGCGGTGACATCTACACTCGAGAAGGCTGATACAGGAAAACTCGGGAAAGTGGCATCAGGGAAATCCTGGGGCACGAACGGGAGGAGCGAATCAGTAGCTATCCTAAAGGACACGCCCTGCCCTGATCAGCCAGAGCTCTGGCCATGGGCACCCCGGGAGGAGGGGTCTCCACCCTCCCCTCATCGTCGTTCGGAGTCGCGTACAGCAGAACGGTGACCCGGTGACTAGCAAAGGAGCAGCAAGCAACCGCACGGACACGGAATAAGGTCAGGTTTGCCGCATAACGAGGCGACCCGACGCCGCACTCCCCCACAAGCGGAAAGCATCAAATTATGCTCCACGGGCGACTTGTAAGCACCTCAATGCGTTGGCGTCTCCCGAAGCGTCGTCAATCCTCAAATGGTAGGGTGACGGGGTGCTGCTGTCAGAACCGCAAACGCATACACTGTACCGTATTGAAGCGGTGCCTGAGGTGAGTCCACACATGGCACGGAACACGGGCGCTGTTCTCGTATATACGCCATCCCCATGCCTGGCCATTGCACTCTGGGACCTGGCAGGGTGCATACACCTCGCTGGCCAAGGCCTGCAGGGTACATCTATCTTTATATACACACAGATGTATTACATCGGTATCTATGCATGTATGTATATATGTCTGTGTGCAGCATCCATCGTATATATACTAGAATCATCACGCGCGCTTCGCGCGCGCTCAAGTTCTAGCTTGGCTGGATGGTCGAACTCTTGGATCTCTATTATAAGACACTTCTTTCTGGGGCTTCCAGGAACCACGAGGACGGCCCAAGTGGCTGCCAAGACACGACGGCTCAAGACAAGCCCCCCAAACACTTCGGGGGCCCTTTTATTCGCCGTGGCTTGACGTAGCCGGAGGAAGAGGGAGGAGAAGGGGAGGTGAAGGGGGGGGAGAAGGAGAAGGAGAATGAGGAGGAGTTGGGGTGGAGGAGGCCGCAGAAGACGAGGAACCGGAGGAGGAGGAGGAGGAGGAGGAGGAGGAGGAGGAGGAGGAGGAGGAGGAGGAAGAGGAGGAAATATGATATTTCCTTTTTTGCAAGCGTAGCGAAGCTGCCAGGCGATCTTAAAACGAATCTATTGGAATCCCCGTTTTTCTCAAGTGCTCTCGGGGCCTCTCTCGGGGCTCTTTTGGGCCTCTTTGGGGCTTCTTGGGGACCTCTTGAAGCCTCCTGGGGGTCTACTGGGGCGAAGATCTCGGGTTCTCGGTTATGTTCCCGATCCTGGGCCGCGGTTGGGGCCATCTCGGGCCGTCTTGGGGCGCTTTTGAAGCCTATTGGGCCGTCTTGGGGCGATCCTCGGAGCCTCTTGGGGCGTTTTGCAGCGTCGGGAAGCGGAGCAGGCGGAAACGCCAAAATTGTTCAAAAACATATGGAACATGCATACATGTTGTTGGCCTCTTCGAGTTCTGTTGGAAGACCTCTTGGACGCCTCTTGGGTATATTGGGGGCCTCTTGGGACGTCTGGAGGCCGTCTTGAACGTCTTGTATCGAAGACGCCCAATTACGGCGAATCACCGCCGCCCCCTGCCCTTTTGGAAGCGCCTCTGTAACCGACAGCTGGGCCAGAGCTTGGCCAAGCTATCGGGCCAGTTGTTCCCCGAGTCGGTTTGGAAAGACTTCGGGGAACGCATGGAGGAGCAAGAAGAGGAGGAGGAGGGGGATGATGAGAAAAAAAAGAGTAGGCCTCTTGGGCGCCTCTTGGGGCACTCCTGGGGCCTCCTGGGAGCTTCCCGGGGGCGCCTTGGAAGGTTTTTGGGGGCCTTCGGGGCTTCTTGGGGGCCTCTTTGGTCGTCTTAGGGTGTTCCTGGCTTGTCTGACGCCGTCGAAAGCCGTCTTGGGGGCCTGTCTGGGTTGTCTTGGGGCCCTGTTGGGGCATATCAGGGGTTCTTAGAAGCCATCTTGGGCGTATTGGAGGCCTCTTTGGCCGTTTTGGGGCCCTCTTGGGCCGTCTTGGGAGCCTTTTGGGTCGTCATGGGGCCATCTTGGAAGCCTCTTGGGCGATCTTCGGGGCCTCTTGCGCCGTCTTGAGCCGTCGGAATCTCGAGAAGAAGCAACTGCCAAAATCTGTGAAAAACTAAATGGAAATCAATGATTTGGGCCTCGTCGTGCCCTCCTGGAAGGCCTCCTAGACGCCTTCTGAGCCGTCTTGGAAGCCTCTTGGGGGCCTCTTGGGCCGTCTTGGGCCATCTTAGGCCGTCTTGGGTGCATCTTGGGCCGTCTTGGAGGCACCTTGGGGCCATCTTAGCCGTCTTGGAAGCCATTTTGGCCGTCTTGGAAGCCCCTCTTGGGCCCTCTTGGGGCCGTCTTGGGGGCCTCGTGGGCCGTCATGGGGCCATCTTGGAGGCCTCGTGGGCGATCTTGGCGGCCCTTTGGGCAGTCTTGAGCCGTCGGAATGCCGAACAGAAGCAAATGCCAAAATTATTCAAAAACCTAAGGAATATCAATGATGATGGCCTCTTCGGGCCCTCCTGGAGGACCTCTTGGAGGCCTCTTGGGCCGTCTTGGAGGCCTCTTGGGGGCCTCTGGGCAGTCTTAAGCCATCTGGAGGCCATCTCAGACCGTCTTGGGTGCATCTTGGGCAATGTTTTGGAGGCATCTGGGGGGCATCTTAGCCGTCTTGGAGGCCATCTTGGGCGTCTTGGAGGCCTTTTGGGCCGTCTTGGGCCCTCTGGGGGCCGTTTTGAGGGCCGCGTCCCGTCCCCGTCCCCGCGTTCTGCGCGCTCCCCCCCCCCAGTCGGCCGACGCCCCCCGTCAGTCATGGGGTCGGCCATTGGAGGACTTTAGATATTGTCCTCAGTTAATTTCGTATCTCACACTTCGTTTCCGATCTTGGGGCGATCGTGGGGGCCTCTTGGGCCGTCTTGAGCCGTCGGAAGGCCGAAAAGAAGCAAATGCCACAATGAGTCAAAAACCAAGGAACACCTGATTTTGACATCTTCGGGCCCTCCTGGAGGACCTCGTGGAGGCCTCTTGGGCTGTCTTGGAGGCCTCTTGGGGGCATCTTGGGCCGTCTTGGGCCATCTTGAGGCCATCTGAGGCCGTCTTGGGTGCATCGTGGGCCGTCTTGGAGGCGGCCATCTTAACCGTCTTGGAGGCCATCTTGGGTCGTCTTGGAGCCGTCTGGAGCAGGAGAAACCCTTTGGAACCGGCTCTGGAAGATCCTTCCGGGACCCCGGCGGGACGCGCCGGAGCCCAAGAGGGAGTTCTTTTGGAAAAAAAAACAAAACCAAAACCGAAAGGATCTAGCACGTCAGGCACCCCTGCGATGAATCGACAGGGGGCGTCGGACCATCTAGTGGCCTTCGGCCCATCCCGCCACCGTGGCTGGGTTTTGGTTTAGAGGCCTCTTGGAAGTTGGTTTGGGATTCGTGGGAGGCCTCCCGGGGGCCTCTTGAAGGCAGTTTTGGATGCCTCTTGGGGGCCGTAAGGGATTCTCTTGGGGCCTCATTTTGGGCCTATTCGGGGCCTCGTGGGGCCTCTAGGGGGACTCTTGGGCTCTCTTGGGGGCCTCTTGGGACCTCCTGGGGGCCTTTTGGGGCGGAAGGCTCGAATTGTTAGTTCGTGGCCCCCTCTTGGGGCCGTCTTGGAGCCCTCTCGGGCGATCTTGGGCGCCTATTGGGCCGTCTTGGGACTCTTGAGCCGTCCTGGCGCCCTCTTTGGGTGCCTATTGGGCCGTCTTGAGCTGATTTCTGGGGCCTCGTGGGCTGTATTGGACCGTCGGAAGCACGAAAGAGCGAGAACACGAAAAACCTTCAAAAACCTTCGAACAAAAACTACTTTGTTCGCCTCGTGGGGGCCTCGTGGGAGTCCTTTTGAGGGCATCTTGGCCGTCGCGAGGCCCTCTTGGGCTGTTTTCACGCCATGTTGGATCAATATTGAAACGCTCTTGTGCGGTCTTGGGCTCTCTTGGAACGGTCTTGCGCCCTCTTGGACGTCTCTCGGGCCCTTTCGTCGCCCCCCTTCCCCTTCTTTGCCGCGCTCTGGCGCCCCCCGACGGGTCCAAACCGACCGGGTACCGAATCAGTGAACTCCAGGGCCCCTGGGAACCCCTCCCCATTTGTTATATATATATAGAGAGAGAGAGAGAGAGAGAGAGAGAGAGAGAGAGAACAAAAAAGAGAGAGAGAGAGAGAGAGAGATACACAGAATCCAACATCCTGGGGGTGGCGGTGGCTTTGCATAGTGATCGTGTACATCGGAAGAGTAGGCTCCCCCCCGGACCAAATCCGCTCAACATCTGTCCCAAAACACCTCCCAGGGTCCGTGCTGACCCGTTTCTCGACCCGGATCCGACAGTGGCGACGAGAAGCCTCCAGGAGTCCCAGGAACGGACGAAGAAAGCGAGGGGGGGCCGCTGTTGTTTCGACTGGCCCTCTCTTGAGCACAGATGCCTTCTGCGGACCCAACCCCCCCGCGGTCACGGCCTTGACCAGGGCTCGGAAGTCTGCCTCGGGTGCCCCGACGCCGCGCCGCGAGGCAGCCCGAAGCCAGCGGTCGGCCGCGGCCTCGAGCTCCTCGCGTGCCACGGCCGCGAGGCGCCGCAGCGCCTCCAGCAGGCCCTCCTCGGACTCTATCTCCGCCGCCCTCGCCTGCAGCTCGGCGAGCCGCCGCGCCAGCTCTGCCGGCAGCGCCTCCAGCTCCGCCACGCAGCGCGCGCACCCGCAGTCGAAGCCCTTCGCGCGCCTCAGCTCGGCCTGCCGCTCGCCGCGCGGCGCCAGCGGCGACAGGTAGCGCTGGGTCACTTCCGCGCCTGCGGGCAGCGGGCGCGTGGCCACCAGCGCCACGGTGCGCCGCGTGAGGGGCACGCAGCAGGCGGACGGCAGGCAGGAGTGGTTCACCAGCGAGACCAGCGGCCAGATGCCGGACACCTCGCCGCCGCCCTCTGGGGAAGAGGCGGAGCCCCGCAGCAGGCCGCCGGCGTCGCGCTCGGCGGCGGCCCAGAGCCTCTTGGCGGCGCGCACAGGACGAGAGGGGGAGGGGGGAAGGCTTCTTAGAAGGAGGCAGCTTCTTAGAAGGCGCGGGCCGTACATCTACAGATTACAATAGGCCCGGGCCTTCTAAGAAGCTGGGTTCTTCCAAGAAGCCTGCCCCCCTCCTCCTACTCCCCTCTGCGCGTGGCCGAGCCTGTCTGCGCGAACGGCGTTGAAGCGGAAGATCTGGCACATGCGCTCCAGGCCGAGCCCTCCTGCGTCGGGCGCGCACGCCGGCGCCTCGGGATGCGGAGCCTGGAGAGGTACAAGGGCACCGCTGCCGCTGCTCCTCGGCCCTCTCCCCGGGCGCGTTCTGGCGAGGAGTTCGAGGCGAGTGAAACCGTGTCGGGCGGGTGGCAATGGGGGTGACCTGAACGGAAGGTGAAGATAAGTACCCTAAAGGGACCCTTTAGGGCCCTTCTGGGACCCCCCTTGGCTCCAAATGGGACCCTTCCAGGGCCCTTCTCTTCACCCCCCGTATGCAGGTTCCCCCCCATTACCACCCGCCCGATCGAGGCGACGGAGGCGCAGCGGGCATCGGTGCCTCCTCCCTCCCTGCCCTGAGCACCTGCCCGAAGAGCTCCCGGGGCGGCACCCCTGGGCTGCCGGAGCCGTCGTGGAGGGCGCCCAGCTGCAGGCGCTGGCGAGGCGTGGCCTCCGCGAGCCAGGCCGCCGCAGCGCGTGCCGCGTCGGCCACGGGGAACAGGCACAGCGCGCGCGAGACGCCCAGGACCTCGCCGGCCTCCACGGCCCTGGCCGCCACCACACCACGGCCCCGACCCGCCAGCAGTGCCAGCTCGACCGCGTCGGAGATCCACTCCTGGCGGCGCAGGAGCTGGCACGACCCATATACACTCGGCGCTCCGCGCGGACTTCTTGGGTCGGCGCTGGCCCCCTCCCTGGCGCACACCGCGCGCCGAGGACGGCGCCGGAGGCGCTGCCAGGGGGCTCCAGCGCCTGTCCAAGGACTCCGCGCGGACCTCCGGAAGTTTATGCTTATGCCATGGTTGTTCCTCGCACTCCGGCGGCTCACTCTCCTCCGCGGCAGAGTACCTCACGCCGCGGCTGTGTGCGGCCTCCGCCTCCGACGCGGCCGCCGCGGCCCGCGCCTGCTGCAGATCCTGCAGGTAGCGCTCTGCCGTCGGAATGGCGCGAGAGGCGACGGGCTCCATGAGGCTCCTGCCGTCGAACCTGCCAGCGGCAGCGCGGGCCTTCGCGGCGGCACTGGCGCGTGCTGGGTGTGACCCGGCGTCTGGCCTGTCTGCGCAGCCCACAGATGCCTTGCGGAAGACGTGCAGCGCAAAGCTCGTGCCTGGCACGGGCGTCGCAGCCACTCGCGGCTCCACCGCAGGGCGCAATGCGTGCATGGTCCGCCGCAGTGGGCCGTAAGACGCCTGCTCCTCCGAGGCACTCAGCAGGAGCCCCCCGGGCCAAAGCGCGGCAAGGGCCATCTCCCCAAAGGCGCAACTATCGCGCGCTGCCAAGCTGTCGAACACCTCCAGGTCCAGCAGGACATCGAAGCGGTCGTCAACATCTCGCGTCCCCACCGCCACGGCCCACGCCTGGGCCCCTAGGCTGCTGAAGAACTCGCCGCCCAACCTGGACAGCTCGGCGGCGCCCGGGGCGATGCGACGGACCGCCACATCGTCCACGGGCGCCTCGAGCAGCGCGCGCTGCGCTGCGAGACTGATATCGGCGGTCAACCTCTCAACATCAGAGGTGCCGCCCAGCAACTCGCCTCCGGCTGGCGGCGCGAGCACCAGCAAAGCGGACCCGCTCCGGCCCGCACCAGCCTGGACGTCTGCCAGAGCAGCACAGACCTCCCTGCACAACCAGTCCGCCACGGGCAGCACCTCGACGCAGTCGTCTTCAGACGGGCTGTCGGGCTCTTGCGCCGCAGCCGCCTCGGCCAGTCGTGCACCCTCCAGCTCTGCCTCCGGCACCTGACCGACCCAGGCCGCCAGGGGCTCCGCGCCAGCGGCCGCGAGCGCCTCGTCTGCAGACGCACGGGCGGCGCACCACGCCACCTTGGAAAAACAACAAATGCCCATGATTACCGCTCCTCGGTGGGCCTCTCGTGCGGTGTGCTCTGACCAGGGCTTCGAGGCGAATCCAGCAGTGGCGACGAAGGAAGGGTGGCGACAACGGCACCTTTCCTCCTCTGACACCTCAGGATCGGCACATGGGGCAGCTGGCCCCGCAGACCCCGCTGAAGCCGCCGCCGAAGCGTGGTGCTCCGCGCCCACTGGCTCGACGCGCTCCGGAGACTCCCGCGCGTCACCCGTCGCCGGCGCAGCGGAGGCCGCCGACGGCTGCAGCACCAGCTCCCCGCTCGGGCGAGCGCGCTCCGGCTCCGTGCTCGACGGAGGCGCGGCCTGGGCCGTGGCGCCAGGACCAGGGCAGGAAGCTCGGCAAGCCTGGGGGTAGGTCGGGCATGTCCTCCTACAAGCGGATTTGGCAAGAAAAATTTAAAACAATCCAAACATCGAAAATAGTCCAAAGAGCATGAAGAAGCGTCACCATATCATTCTTTTACGTCTTCTTGAAGTCTCCTCCTGTGGAAGGACATGCCCGACTGCAGGGAGCCTGGGGCTCCGGTGTCTGCTCGAGGCCCTCCATCGGCGGCCGCCGCGCCGCTGTGTCCCGGCGCTCCAGGCCCGCGCCGGCGCACGTCCCCGCTGGGGCCGACGGGCAGGGGGGGTCCACCTCAAGGGGCCCATGGGACACGCAAGAAAAAAGACACCAATCCCAGGATCCCTATTTTCTATATTTTCTGGATGTTCGTCTCCCCTCCCACGTAGAGGAACAAAAACGGCATAAACATAAACTTTTGGAGGTCCGCGCGGATTTCGTGGATCCGCGCCGGACCCTCCTCCCCAGTCCGCGGAGCGCGCCAGGGGCGGCGCCGCAGGCGCCGCCAAGGGGGCACAGCGCCGATCCAAGAAATCCGCGCGGAGCGCCAAACGTTCATGTTTACGCCGTTTTGCCCTTCTTTGACACTTTCTATATTTTCCCATACTCTGGGTTTCTTAATCAGCGTGGGGTGGGTACACCCCCGACGGGGTCAACCTCGGCTTGTCGTCGCGCCGCGACGGGGATCGGAGCGCTTTCGGCTCGCGGTGGCTGCCCGCGACGGGGGTCGATGTGGGGCTGCCGGCGGGGGTGACGCCCCCCCGACGCTTGTCAAGAAACTCGATGATGATGATGATGATGATGATGATGATGATGATGATGATGATGATGAGGAGGAGGAGGAGGAGGAGGAGGAGGAGGAGGAGGAGGGGGACGATGATGGTGACGATGATGCTGATCATGATGATGCTGATGATGATGATAGTTGGTGATGGTGATGATGATGATGATGATGATGATGATGATGATGATGATGATGGTTTCTCATATGATGGTGATGATGATGACGATGATGATAATGGTGATGCTGAGGATGGTGATGATGATCATCATCATCATCAGTACCATCATCAGTATCATCATCGTCATCATCACAATCATCATCATTGCATCATCATCACCATCATCAACTGTCATCATCATCATCATCATCATCATCATCATCATCATCATCATCATCATCATCATCATCATCAGCATCAGCATCAGCATCAGCATCAGCATCATCATCATCATCATCATCATCATCATCATCATCATCATCATCATCATCAACCATTCTCATCACCATCATCATAAGCCTCCTGGGGATTGAAGGTGCTCTGGGTCTGTGTGTGCTTCCCCTCGTGACGGCCTCCTGGACGAGCGGCGGCGGCGGCGCGGCGGCCGCGGGTCCGTCCTCCGGGGGTGCCCCGCGGAGGCCGCCCCCGCTGGCGAGCGCGGAGGGGTCCAGGAGCTTTTCCATGAGCAGCATCTTCTCCTCCAGGGGCATCGATCGGGGAACGAACATAATGGCATAAGCATGAACACTCGGAGGTCCGCGCGGGTTTCTCGGATCGGCGCTGGATCCCCCTCCCTGGCTCGCGGCAGGGGCGGCGCCGGGGGCGCCGCTGAGGGGGTTCAGCGCGGATCCGAGGAATCCGCGCGGACTTCCGACTTGTTATGCTCATGTCATGTTTCGTTCCCCCCAATCGAGGGGTCGATGCTGTAGAACTGCTGCAGCGCGGCGGGGCTCTGCGACATGGCCTGGAACAGCCGCGACCCCTCCGCGAGCATGCCCCGGCCGCCGCTCCGGGCGTCCTTAAATCTGTCGGCGTAGTCGGCGTCGTAGACTCGCACCACGTCCAGGTGGCGCTCAAAGTCCACTGCCAGAGCCTCGACGGCGGCATCCGATGCCCCCGCGCTGTCCGCCTGCAAGTCGCGCAGGGACAGGAGCCCCCTGGCATGGTAGAGCGCATTCCAATGCACGATGTGGAACCTTGGCACCAACAGGCGTGTCAGGCCGAGGTGCTGCCTCACTAGTGACGCCACGCGGCGCCAGACTGACGCCTCCAACAGATCCCCGCCGGCCTCGAGCTGCTTGAACAAGGCCAGCGTGCCTGTTGTCACCGCGAACTGAACCATGTCTTGCATGCACCTGTGCCCAAGCGCCGGGCGGCGAGCGCGACCAGGCTGGCTCCACTTCTCCACGAACAGCTCCGCCTGCTCGAAGGTCCTCAGCAGCTCGCGGGCGTTGGATGCTTGTCGCACAGACTGCTGGTCCAGGCGAGCCCGCTGCGTGCAGAGCATTGCGTGCTCCTCCACCCATCGGCAGCCCTGGGCCTCGCAGAAACGCTTGTGTGCCTTCCAGCCCGCCCTGAGGCACGACTTGGAACAGAAGTAGACCGCCTTGCACCGGCTGCAACGCTGGAGCCCTTTCTCGGTCGAGCCTCGATCCGGACTCGGGGTGGCCGATGCCACGACCATCAAATTGGCTGGCTTCAGCCACAAGCGCCTCTCCTCACCCTGCAAGGCCATGGCGACCAGTGCGCGGCCATCGCCCCGCGACTCGACGACTCGCCCGTGCAAGCCATTGTACTGCGTGGCGGCCAGCTCCGAAACCTCCACGAGGTCACCAGGCCTGGGAGCGGCAGAGCCCCCGCCGCAGTGCTGGCAGCACGCAGCGCTCTCAAGCACCCGGCCCAACTGGCAGGCGTCGGCGCCCCCGCTCCGCTCGTGACGGCACAGCGAGCAGCGGCACTGGCCACCGCAATGCTTCTCTATGCGCTCCGAGCGCGCGCGAGGTTCCGCGAAGAGCTCGTGGTAGGAGATGCGAACGACCGCCGCCGAAATCTGCACCCCGCCACTACTGGGTATGGTCTCGGGGGGCATGCCCCCCTTCTCGCTGTTCAGACTGCAGTTCCAGGCAACAGCGATCCCTCAGCGATGCCTTCGGACATGACTGACGCCCGCAACACGCTAGTACCTGCGCATCATTCCCGAACAACCAAACGTATTTCGCAATGGTAGTTTAGGCGGCGCGTCCGGGGGGGAAGCGAGGAAGGGCGGGCCTTCTCAGAAGACTCGGAAGTCCACAGGCCTTCTGAGAAGTTTTCTAAGCCTTCCCCGAAGACACAAGAAACCTCTCAGAAGGCGCGAAGGCTTCTGAGAAGCCCCGCCGGTTTCTGAGAAGGCCTTTTCCGTCTCACTTCCCCCCCTCGCTCGCCGCCGATAGTATCCTCTCACCACACGAACTAGATTGGGACTGACCGTGAACTTCCGAGTTCACACCGAAACCATGGCAAGCGACTAATTCGTGCTCTGGTCGAGGCCAGTCGCGGCCCACAGAGTGACCAGGCGCTCACGGCAAATTGCAGTATGGACGGCGACTCGTCGGAGCTACTCTCGGACACTCCAACAAACGCCAAGCGCCAAGCAAACCGCGCCACGCACCTGCACGCCGCTCGGGGACACGACACATGCGTTCCAAGCATTCAGAAGTCCACGGGGAAGAGAACGGACACCAACATACTTTCAAATGGCCAACGGGCAGTAGCTTCAGAGCGTGCCGCGCCTGCCCGGTACGACCCCCTGGCCCTGGCCCCCACAGGTCGGCTACATGCAAGAGTGACCCTGAGCAAGAGTGACCTTTGGTGCGCGGCCCCAGGGGGGGTCGGGCGCTTCGGGCAGTCTTTAGGCGGCCATCTTGGGGGCCTGTTGGGCCGTCGTGGAGCATTGGGAGACCGAGAAGGCGAGGACGCCAAACTTCTTCAACAATCTTTCGGGGTTCGATAATTTTGCCTCCTGGGAGCCTCTTGGGGGTCCTCTTGGAGCCCTCTTGGGCTGTTTGGGAAGCCTCATGGGCCGTCCTGGGGTACTGTTGATCGTGTTGGCCCTAAGCTGCCGACGGAGACCCTCACTGGCCATCCTGGTGGCATGGAGGAGGTGGCGACCCCCTCCGTGGTGGCCCCCCTTGGTGTTGCCTGGCACTTACACCAGCGCCACACCGCATCGCGGACTCAAATACGCAGTGACCCTTTGAACAACGCCGAACTTGGGAGCGTTTTTTACAAATTAGCCTGGCGAAGGACCCAACCATATGCAGTTGTGAGTACCGCAATTCTGAATATCTTCTTCGGTGGAGCCCCCCATGGGGCCACGAAGCGCTGTACTGGGTGGGCGAAACGCAGGGAGCAAGGGCTGTGCAGGGTGGTGGCTGACGCATGCGGGCGGTGCCACTGAGACCTTCGGCGGAGCTCCCTATGGGGCCACGGAGCGCTGCACTGGGTGGGTGAAACGCAGGGAGCAAGGGCTGTGCTGGGTGGTGGCGGACGCATGCGGGCGATGCCACTGGGACCTTCGCTGGAGCCCCCTATGGGGCCACGAAGCGCTGTACTGGGCGGGTGAAACGCAGGGAGCAAGGGCTGTGCTGGGTGGTGGCAAACGCATGCGGGCGGTGCCACTGGGACCTTCGCTGGAGCTCCCTATGGGGCCACGAAGCGCTGTACTGGGTGGGGGAAACGCATGGAGCAAGGGCTGTGCTGGGCGGTCGCCGGCGCATGCGGGCGGTGCCACTGAGACCTTCGGTGGAGCTCTCTATGGGACCACGACGAGGACCACGAAACGCTGTACTGGGTGGGGGGGGGCGCATGCGAGCGGAAGACCTGGAACCTTCGGTGGAGCTCCGTATGGGGCCACGAAACGCTGTACTGGGTGGGTGAAACGCAAGGAGGAAGGGGAGGAGGGCCACGAAACGCTGTACTGGGTGGGGGGGACGCATGCGGACGGTAGACCTGGAACCTTTGGTGGAGCTCCCTGTGGGGCCACGAAGCGCTGTACTGGGCGGGTGCAACGCAGGGAGGAGTGGGAGGAGGGCCAAGAAACGCTGTACTGGGTGGGAGGGACGCATGCGGACGGTAGACCTGGAACCTTCGGTGGAGCTCCCTGTGGGGCCACGAAACGCTGTACTGGGTGGGCGAAACGCAAGGAGGACGGGGAGGAGGGCCACGAAACGGTGTACTGGGTGGGGGGGGACGCATGCAGACGGTAGACCTGGAATCTTCGGTGGAGCTCACTATGGGGCCACGAAGCGTTGTACTGGGTGGGTGAAACGGAAGGAGAAGGGGGAGAAGGGCCACGAAACGCTGTACTGGGTGGGGGGGACGCATGCGGACGGTAGACCTGGAACCTTTGGTGGAGCTCCCTATGGGGCCACGAAGCGCTGTACTGGGTGGGTGAAACGCAGAGAGGAGGGGGAGGAGGGCCACGAAACGCCGTACTGGGTGGGTGGGACGCATGCGGACGGTAGGAAGGAGGGGGAGGAGGAGGAGAGGAGGAGAGGAGGAGAGGAACGCGGGGACCGTCTCTTCAAAACGAGGACCCAACAACACAGGTTGGTTGAGAAAAAAGAAGAGAACAGAAACGATCCTCAAACAACAGATCTGCACCCCGGTAGTGGCAGGGGTACGGACATCGCTGGCAGGATTGGGTCCCCCGTCGCCAGGTCCCTGGTGGCCTTGGTGCGTCGGAGATTTCGATCGCCTCGCGCGGCTCGCGGATCGCTGATCCGACCGCCTCGGCTGCAACGATGTTAACAAAGGTCGTTCCGAACGTATTGAGACTCGATGCTCACCGATCTGCAGAGCGGCTCAACAGCTGCGACCGAATCCGCCCATGCCTGATACTATGAGCTGAGCTCGCAGCAACAAGCTTCACCTCAAGTCGATCGTCAACTGGCTGCTCGCCAGTACCGAGGATAGAGAAGCACGCCTTCTCCTCCAGGCTGGTGGCGCATGCGTGGTTCAGCATTGCCAGGGCATTGAACACCTTACAGCTAGGCACTATGCTGCTGCCTCTCCCCTTCGAGACTTCGTCGAGATCGAAGCTGCCCTCGCGACGCACGTGGGGGGACACAACTTCTCGATCTGGGCGCGCTGCCAATCCATGATTACCCAATCGACTGCGGGTGAGCAGAGAGCACGATCAGGGAGGCGGACGAGCAGGAGAAGGGGAGGGGCTGCGGGCGGCCGCACTCTCGCGCAACTGGATATCTCGAATGTCGCCGCGCTGTTAACCGCTCTGCGGTGCAAGGCAGAGGCGATCATACAGGGCAACACGGGGAGGACAGGGACAGGAGAAATTAGCATAGCTGGGCGGGCAATCTTCTGACCTAGCCCCAGGACGCCATCACTCTCGCTGCAACAAGACTTGGGCCGCCCTGCACGTGACTCCCATCGAACAGCGCAGACTCATCTCGCCAACCAGCACCCCCTGGAAACCCGAAAACAGGCGATCACTGAAATCCGTGTCACATTGGAACGAACAAGCCCGAAAGAGATTTGAACCTCGTGCCACCCGATGCTCTTGGCTGCCCCGATACGCAACATGCAACGCGTAGCGTGTTGACACGGAGCTCGACACGCAGACCGAAAACGCAGGTCTGGCGCGATATGTTCGCCAGCACGTGGGCCAACACGTGCCGAGCCAACACGCAACGTGTCGACACGGACGTTTTGAGCACGGTACGTGTTGCGTTTCAAAAAGGGCGTATCGAGGCAGCTAAGCCGGTGCTCCTTCCCATCGGCTGCCCCATCCGGAGCCAGAGCGGTCTGGCGGCACCGCGCACTTGCCCCCGAAGGTGAAGGAGTTGGTCTCCACTTCTGCCAGGAAGGGCTGCGCCGCCAGCGCCTCGCGGGCCCCGTGGTCCCGACCCTGTTCCACCAGTGATGGCGAGGTGCAGGGCACGCGGGAGAGCTGAGTGGGCAGAGATTCCCTGCAAGATGCCGCCTGAAGGGGCCGCTCAGAGCTTGAATCTGTTGCAGCCATTCGATGAGAGGCCTGGATGTGAAGTGGGGGGCGCGAGAATCGACGCCGACTCTCCCCACCCCTCGGAGGCATCTCCTACGAAACTGAAGCCTCATCGTCTCCCGTGCCTCGCCCGTTTTCTGACGAATCATCTACACTGGCTGCTTCCCTGAACCCCCTTCTACGTCCGATCATGTCAGCCCCAGCTGGCTTTGCTACTCTGCGTTTTCGTATGCTGTCTTAGTCGTGCGTTCTGGAAAAAAAAGATTATCACGGCTCGTCCCAAATTAAAGCAGACAGTTGCACTCGTTCGCGGCGCATGATGAGTGGTGTTGAAAAGCAAGCTGGCCAACCTGACACTTGCTTAAGAATGTGTGTAGCGGGCTCCAGGCTCATTGCGTGCAAGCTTGTCATTTGAGCTGGCTTGCATATCAATGAGCCTGGCCTTCTGTTATACACACTTGCTTTTCGCGCGCATCGCGGCCACGCGTGCAGCGACGCATGCAGTCGGGAGGAGATGCCGAATACACACACTCACACACACACACACACACTCAAGTCAGCGGCGCAGAGAGTCCTCAGGCGCCAGCATCAGATGGAAGTGCGAACTGCGACCGAGCAATGTCGATAGCGCAGCGTACAAGCGTCGCACACTGCACACAGACACACACCCACAGACACACACCCACAGACACACACACACACACACACACACCATTTTTTGGTCGGCGGGGCGAGAGCGAACCTCTTCCGCTAAAAGCTAGGCGGGCTACGCACACACACACAAAACACTCACAGAAGACTCACAACATACACACACACACACACACGCCTACACACACACACTTGTTGGGAGCCGCGGCCACGCGCGCGGCGTCGCGGCGTGGAAACGATCGGAGAGGCGCGCGCACCGGGGGACCACGCCAACGGGGAGAGGCCGGATCCGCCCCCGAAAAGAAGATCGACAGCGTCACTCGCCGGGGGGGGGGGAGCCGTGCGGGGGCAGACGGGGGAAGGTCGGGGGAAGAGGAGCACGGGAAGGCGAGGGAGTGCGACAGCACAGACCTCACACGCACGCGCAGGAGAGCAAGAGAAGGAGCTTTTCGCGCGTGCTCGAGCCGACGCTGGGAGGTGGAACGAGGGCCGAAGAGGGAAGAGGAGACTACGTAAGGGAACGAGTGAGGGAGGGAGGGGGGAGGGGGAAGAGGTAGGGAAGGAACAGAAGAAGAGAGAGAGCGGGAGGGAGGCCTGGGTGTGGCGGAGGGGGGGAGGGATCAGAGAGAGGGGAGAGAGGAGGGAGGGAACGACGCAGGGAAGGGGCGGGGGGGGAAGTGGAGAGAGAGAGGGGGGGATGGAGAGCAGGGAGGAGGGAGGGAGGGAGGGCCGAGGGAGGGGGGAGGGATCGAGGCGGCGGGAGGAGAGGCGAGGCAGGCACGAAGGGCGGCGCCCCACCGCTTCACTCGCCGCCCTGGCGTGGGGGGGGGCCTCGGGCGAAAGGGAGGCGGCGGCCAGGTTCTGCTCGCCCCGCAGCAGGTCGAAGCGCTGCGGAGCGCGCGCCACCTCCTGCGCGGCCTGCCTCGGGGAGGGGAAAGGCAAGCGGCGCGCGAGCGGCGAGAGGAGGCGGATCTGGCGTGAGGAGGCTCACCGACCTCACGCCGCGGCCCCCGCGGGCCGCCAGCGTGTCACACGGCGTGGACAAGAGGGCGGTGACGCGCAACCTTGCGCGGGAAGCTTACGCGCGGATGTCCGCGCAGTCGACTCCGCGTTCTTCCTGCGGTCGCGTGCGACCAACAGAAGGCGTTTGGTGGCATCTCCTGGGATGTCCTTCGTGGGGGGCGATTGAGTGCTACTACTGCTACCCAAATTCGGGGGGGCACTGAGCCAGATTAAGACTTGGAACAAGTCGGACTAGCTAGAATTAAGCTGGATTGTGTTGGATGAGGCCTGGGTAGGACGGTATCCGAACGCGGACACGTTTACCAGCGCCGATGCTGAATTCAACATCCTTGGACTTGCAACCGAACCAACGTTCGAATGTCCGCACGGATTTCTTAAATCGATCCCACCTGAACAATCCGTGCTTCCCAAGGCCTGTGTCCCAAGCCGTTGATGCCCCCTGACCTCCGACGCCGCTGCTTTGTCGCTCCTGTCGCTGTTGAACAACAACAGCAACATCAACAGGCGCAGACTCAGACGGAGACGCAGGGGGGCACCCTCGAACACTAGTGTTCATGTAGGTTGCGTGTCTTCTCGGCGGCCAGCCCGGGGGGAAATGAGCGGGGGCGAGCCTTCTCAGAATGCTCGGAAGTCCCCCAGCTTTCTGAGGAGTTGTCTAAACTGTCCCCGCTGACACAACAAACTCCTCAGAAGGCACGAGGGCTTTTGAGAAGCCCCCGCCGCCCTCTGAGAGGGCCTGCTCATCCTCCTCGCTCCTCCCCTCGCTCGCCGCCAATCACTGGCCTGGCGTTGTCCCTCACCAGCGGGCGCTCCACCAGCAGCACGTCCCCCGCCGCGAAGGCGCGCCCCGCCACCAGGCAGCGGCCCTCGCCAGGGGAGCCCAGCATCGAATCGACACGTCGGATCGGAAGTCGAGACGACTCGGATCGGCGGAAATCGGCAGCCGAGTCGGAAAAGTCGAATCAGCAGAAATCGGCAGGCTAACGTGTGCGTCCAATACAAAAATCGGAACCCAAATCGGAATCCAAAGTCGAAGCGAAGCGGAACCGGAATCGATCGACACCGACTCAAAACGAACAGGAGGAATCGAGATTGACGGGCGAGTAACGGTATAACATAGACGTTTTCGCTGTCGGGGGCGCCTGTCCCAGAGCGGCTGGAAAGTCTCTGCCCTGACGGCGGCACGTCGAGGTACAGACTGTCCAGCCGCCCATGGGGCAGCGCCCCTGGTCACGGACAAGTTCACGTGTTGTACCGTCCCTCGCCCGCGAACGGAGCGAGCCCCGCCTCGCCGGGCACCTCCTCGAGCCCGAGGCCGGCGCGCTCGATCTCGGCAAGCCCCACGGGCATGCCGCCGCCGCGGCCGCGGCAGCGCCGCGGTGGGGGCCGCCGCCACGGCCCGCCTCGCGTCGCCCCATGGCCACGCGGGGCGCCCGGCGAGGCCTGAAGCCCGAGGCCTCGTCTGCGCGACCTCCTCCTCCTGCTCCTCCTCCTCCTCCTGCTCCTCCTGCTCCTCCTGTTCCTCCTGTTCCTCCTCCTCCTTCACTTTACCTTAATACGTTTGTATCAAATGTTCGCTGGACGCGATGGAGCTCGCTCCATGCTCTGAATCAGCCTGAATCAGCCTCCTCCTCCTCCTCCTCCTCCTCCTCCTCCTCCTCGACATCCCCCTCGGTATCCTCGACATCCTCGGCGTCCTCCGCCTGTGACTGCTCGGCATCCTCGGCATTCTCCTCGGCATCCTCCTCGACAGCCTCATCGGCATCCTCGACTTCCTGCTCTGCCTACGTCGGGGCTGGCGGGGGGGCAGAGACGGTACCAGAGGCCCCGTCCACAATGCGGCACGCGCGCAAAATACCCGAGGCAGCCCTCGCAATGGAACCCAAGCTGGTAACAACGCTGGCAAGACGATGCGCGCTGGGGGCCATTTGCTGTGGTCGGGGTGAATTTCTAGGTAAACACGCGGGCCATACGATGCACGGCGAAAACTTCCAGAAGCGTTCGGAGCGAGCTGGTTGGCATTAACCATACTGGCAACACGACGTGCGCCAGGAACGAGCGCGTGCGCTTGAAGAGAGCTTCCAAGCAGTGACGCTGGCCACGCGACGTGCGCAGGGAGCGGGCACGAAAGCGCGGAAACATCTTCCTGAAGACAACAGCACCGGCGTCGCGATGTGCGTGCAGAGTCGCGAGCGAGCAGCGAGCAGACGCGCGGGCACGGATCCGGCATGAACTTCACTGGGGGGGACCTCCGCTGGCCCGCACCAGGAGTCCGCCACCCGAGCGAAGGGTCGATCAAACCCAGCCCCCGGGGCACCCCCCGGGGGGTCCGTCCTGGCCGGTTTCCCGGGCCGCGCCCAGCCCCAGCGACGGAAACCTTCAGAACACGAGAAGAGGCATCCCAAACCCGACGACGATGTGGACCACGCCCGCGTTGCATCCTGGCCATTTCTTCATCTTGGACCGATTCTTTGCCGCCCAAGACCCACATGAAACATCAACCTTCGATCATCGTCATCACCGCCAATGTCTCCCTCGCCGTCGCCGTCAATGCTCTGTCGTCTTCCTCGTCCTCGTCGTCGTTGTCGTCGTCGTCGTCGTCCTTGTTCTCGTCCTCGTCGTCGTCTTCGTCACGTCGTCGTCGTCGTCGTCGTCCTCGTCATCGTCGTCGTCGTCGTCCTCGTCATCGTCGTCGTCCTCTTCCTCCTCGTGCTGCTTCTCGCCCGTCGCGACCAGGGGGAGGGAGAGGCAGACCATGAGGAGGTGAGGCGGAGTCGCAGCAGCAGGAGGAGGAGGAGGAGGAGGAGGAGGAAGAGGAGGAGATGCAGGAATCAGGAGGAGGGAAGCAGCAGCAGGAGGGAGAAGACGGGCAGGAAGCGAAGGACATCAGAACGAGGGAGGACCAGCAGCCGCGTCCGCAGGAGGAGGGAAGCAGGCGCCCACCCGCGGGCAGTCGCGTGCCAGAGCGCCGCCGCCCGTCGCGGACGGGAGGCTCGGGCGGGTGGTACTGGGAGGTGACCTTAAAAGAGAAATTTTCTGATCACAACTGGTCCGGTGAGATCCCAACGGAACGGGTCATAACACAACCGCCAAGCGCAGCTGGGACGGACGGGTGAGATCCCAACCGCTCCAGGGGAATCCTTCGGGCATCTGAAAACCTCTCGGGCATCCCAGAGTTCCTGACAGCTTCTGAGAGATTCTGAAAAATTCTGGGAGATTCTCAGAGATGCTGGAGAGGTTCTGAAAGATTATCAAAGATTCTCAAAGATTCTCAGAGATTCTCAAAGATGCTGGAAGATTCTGAAAGATTCTGGGAGATTCTGAACCAATCTGAGACATTCTCACGCATTCTCAAAAAGACTACGAAAGAGATTCTGGAAGATTCTGACAGATTCTGAAACATTCAGAAAGATTCTGAAGGAATCTCAGAGATTCTCAGAGCTGAGACATTCTGAAAGATTCTGATTCTGACAGCTTCTGATAGTTTTTGAAAGCGTCTGGGATATTATGAAAGCTTCTGCAAGCTTCTGAGAGCTTCTGAAAGTTCGTGAAATCTTCTACGAGATTCTGAAATATTCTAATAATGTCTGCAATGTTCTGAGAATTTCTGAGAGCTTCCGAGAGCAACCGAGAGATTCTGGAAGATACTGAAAGATTCTCAAGCACTCTGAGAGCTTCTGAGAGCTTCTGAAAGTTTTTCAAAGATTCTGACAGTTTCTGAAAGCTTCTGAGGGCTTCTGAAAGATTCTGAAAGATTCTGAATGGTTCTGAAAGCTTCTGAGAGCTTCTGAAAGCCACTGAGAGTTTTTGAGAAGCTTCTGAGAGCTTCTGGGAGATTCTGAGAGCTTCTGAGAGCTTCTGCGAGCCTCTGAGAGTTTTTGAAAGTTTCCCGGCACATCGGGGCCATCGGCCCCGGGGCCGTCCAGGACATCCGCCGGACGGAGAAAATCCATCAGGACGAGTCCCTTGGATGGGGCACCACTTCCCTCCAGGCCTGTTCGTGTCGCGCTGAAGGACTGGCAGGCTCTCCTGTTGCGGCACAGGACATCCTTTCCCGTCTTGGAGTTGCCCAGCGAGAGAGCGTTCGGCGGGGCGTACAACAAGGCGGCGGGGGAGGGCGCGGACTTCCCGCGAGGGCCAGGGGGATTCGGCTTAATTTCCTGGGAGTCCACAAGGGCCCCCAAAAGGGCCCCGGGAGATTACCGACAGCCACCTCCCGCCACCGTTGCGGCCGTTCCCAGAGCCCCGACGTGGTGTCTGTTCATCGTGTCGGCGCCCTTGTTGTAGGGAAATTATCCTCGGAGGGCCTCTTTGTGACACTCCCCAGAGAGGGGAGAAGGGAGGAGGGAGGAGGGAAGGAGGAGGGAGGAGGGAGGAGGACGGATGGGGAGGAGGCGGATCTCGCGCACGGCGCTATCGGAGCCATCGAAGCTACGGATGAGGTAGGAGGAGGAGGAGGAAGAGGAGGAGGAGGAGGAAGAAGAGGAGGAGGTGGAGGAGGAGGAGGAGGAGGAGAAGAAAGAGGAGGAGAAGGAGGAGGAAAAGGGGGAGGAAGGACTTGAAACAGGACGGAGGAGGAGAAGGATGACGACGACGAGCAGAAGGAGGAGAGGGAATGACGCCCGTCCTGGAGCCTCTTGGTGTCGCCTTGGCTCTCCTAGAGCGTGCTGGGGGTCCTGTGACCTGTTTGGGCTCTTCGGGGCCTCTTGGGGCCTCTTGGAGCCTCCTGGGCCCTCTGGAGCTAACTGAATGTAATTCAAGGTGGGTCCTCCGGGGGGCTCTTGAGATTTCGTGCGCTCTCCCGGGGCCGCCATGGGCCCTCCTGGAGCCTCCGTGGGCCCTCTCAGAACTCTCTCGCGGGGGCGGAATGTTGAAAACAATGTCACGCATGGGGGCCTTTCCGTTTAGAAGGGGGGCGCGGTGCAGAGTGGGTCCTCTTGGGGCCCTCCGGAGATCTTCTAAGCACTCCCGAGGCCGCCATGGGCCCTCCTGGAGCCTCTGGGGGCCTCTAAGAAGCCTCTCGAGGGGGCTGAAAAATGACGACAGTTTCACGGATGGAAGCCTTTCCGTTGAGAAGGGGAGCGCGGTGAAAGGTAATAAAGTGACGACAGTGTCGCACTTGAGGCCCCAAATCGTCCTTGGGCACCTCGGGCGCGAATCCCCCTCCCACATAATACGGTGCGATTTCCCCGCCCCCCGCTGTCCCGCCGGACCCCGGGAGGGTGATTTTTTAGGTTTTCGCTTATAAAAAACACTTCCCCCCCCCCCTCTCGACAGTGACAGAGGCCACGTGGCGGGGGTGGGCGGGTTGGCGGGGTGGCGGGTTGGCTGGGGTTGCGGAGTGGCTGGTTGGGCTGGTTGAGCTGGTTGAGTTGTTTGGGTGGCTGGTTTGTTGGGCTGGCTGGTTGGGCTGGCTAGGGCAATTGGTTTCTACTACTAGTACTGCTACTTCATCAACAACAACAACAACTACTACTACTACTAATAATAATAATAATACTACTACAAAAACTACAACAACAACTACTACTACTACTACTACTATTACTACTACTACTACTACGACTACTACTACTACTACTACTACTACTACTCCTACGACTACTACTACTACTACTACTACTACTACTACTACTACTACTACTGCTGCTGCTGCTACTACTACTACTAGGACTACGACTACGACTACGACTACGACTACGACTACGACTACGACTACGACTACTAGTACTACTACTACTACTACTACTACTACTACTACTACTACTACTACTACTACTACTACTACTACTACTACTACTACTACTACTACTACTACTACTACTACTACTACTACTACTACTACTACTACTACTACTACTACTACTACTACTACTACTACTACTACTACTACTACTACTACTACTACTACTACTACTACTACTACTACTACTACTACTACTACTACTACTACTACTACTACTACTACTACTACTACTACTACTACTCCTACTACTACTACTACTACTACTACTACTACTACTACTACTACTACTACTACGGCTACTTTTACTATTACTAATACGACTACGACTAGGGACTGATATTAGGACTACTACTACTAATAATCATACAACTGATACTACTACTACTACTACTACGACGACGACGACGACGACGACTACTACTACTACTACTACTACTACTACTACTACTACTACTACTACTACTACTACTACTACTACTACTCCTACTAGTACTACTACTACTACTACTACGACTACTACTACTACTACTACTACTACTACTACTACTACTACTACTACAACTACTACTACGACTACTACGACGACGACTAATACGACTACTAC